AAAAAATTAAGATCAGTTTAAAGGCGATCAGCTTAATGATTCGGTTAGGTTTTATGTATATATTTTAAGTGCACCTGTTAGAGAGAGTGATAGGATCGAAGTAAATATTGCCACAATAACAAGATTAGGCCTAAACAAAGAAAGATGGTGGTAATTAAAAGGATTCATGAGTTGTTAATTTAACTGAAGGGGATGTAGTAAATAGTAATGAATGGAATAAGTGGAATCGTGTTGCCGGTCTCAATTTTTTGTGGTATAGATAAAAGGTGATGCAAGGCCTAATATCGTACAGAAAAAAAAAATTTGTTCCTCCACAAAACAAAAAAATCAAAGTAAAGTACATAATGCACATCTAGAGACACATTAGTAAGCTTTGATTTTGAAGAAAGTGTCCTACAATATCTGTGATCTCCTCTGTAAAGTGATTAGTGTGAGCTCAGAGGGTACGAAAAGCAAAAGAAAAGAACTTTGTCTGATAAAACAAAGAGCCAGCCCTTAGGTTCAATGGATGAATCTTTGACCAACACAAATTGAATCTTCAGATATTTTTTTGGTGGATTCAACTATGAGTCCTTTATTATGGAAAATATAACAGGACTCACAAACAGCTACACAAGTTAGGAGTCATCCTTTGGCAAGAATGAAAAGCCAACCTACTTCCATCATTCTTCTTATTGATGTAAGGTCATTGATGACACAAATATGCACAAATAGTAAATTTAGAACCAATGTAATCACTTTGAGGCTTTTTCTAATGAGTTTCTTCTTCCCCTCAAGATGTCGGAAGTAAAGGGGAAAAAGATATCTAAAGCCAAAACACTATCCTTTGAAGTGCCAATTGTGATTAAGGAGGTGCACTCTCTTAAATTATTGCAGTCTCTTGAAGTGCATGAGATCATGTCGCATGTTAACATCTTTATAATTGAGTGTTTGTTGTTTATTGAGCATATCTTGTATACAATTAAGGCTTGATAACTATCTTAGCATCCACTGCCTATGTCATGAACTCTTTATCTGTTTCCATATTGTCTCTTCAAGATATTGCATTCACCGTTGCATTCATTTAATCTAGTAGAACGAGACCAGAAACCCAATTTGCATTATTACACTAATGTATTAAGCCAGCATCTGTTTACCCTAATCTTGTGCTGTTTGCTGATGAATATTATCTTATTCACACAATACGCTGATGTCTTTTTCTTTTCTCCCCATCTTTTAACTGTCAGAAATTACTTGTATTTGCTATAAATTACGTGTAAGTTCTTACCTTTTTCCTTGATTTCATAACTAGCATTTCATGTTGCATAAGGACTGCACTTGTTTCTTCCATTCTGAAGTTTGAAATTATGAGTCATTTCTATTATGGAGTCCCTTCTCGACTTAGAATATGTACAGAATGCCACTTTGACGACAAAAGGGCACAAATCATCACGAAGAAGATGTTCATTTGATGATTAGACAACCAAACCGCTGCGCACTGTGGCTATTTTCTCGACGATGTTTGTGTGATTTGATTTCTTTGCCTGAGCTATCCAAGTACCAAAACCATGGGTGTATGTATATCCTGATCATGATATTTCTCCTTTTTCAGCACCACAAACTCTTAATGAGAGCCTTTTGTGTGCTCCTCAATCTTAGCTACAACTAGGAAACCCCACGCTCATTCTGATATGTGCTCGACACGGGGTATGACATTTCATTTCAGTGTCTGCCCCTCTTTTCCTTAGTTCTTGTGGAAAGATCATCATTAATGCACTTTGAGAAGATTCTGGCACAACCAGAAAGATGAGCAGACAACCACATCTTGCCTCCTTTCATCTCTAAGAGATGCCAGGGGACATAGAAATGATTGAATCTGTTTGAAAATGGATGTGAAGAAAACATTAATTATAGCGTTTGGCAACCGTGGCGTTTTTGCCGTTTCTGTTTTTTTTTTCAATAAAAACAATAAAACGCGTTTGGCAACCGGGACGTTTTTTGACTTGACCCTTTACAAAATCCAAAAAATAAACACTTTTCTCAAAACACCAAAAATGTGTTTTGAGATTTCGTTTTTTCATCTAAGCCGCCGCCGCCCGCTGCAGATGTATAAAGGGTCGTCGAGAGATATCGATTTGGGCAAAGGGTAAGCGGGTAGAGGTGACCCGAAGAAAGTCCCGACGAGGTCGATCTGTGCCTGAATCTGGGTCAAATCTCCAGCGGTCTCTATGGGGGTTTTGAGATCTGGGCTCGGGAAGCCCGAGAACGAGGCGAGGCCATCGGAGTCCGAGGTGTTGAAGGGGAACGGGGAGTTGTTGTTGAGGACAGCACCATTGGCGGAGACGATGAGCTCTTGGTGCTGGACTTGGATAAGGAGGGACCAAGCTTTGAGCTCGGCGAGGCCGTTGTTTTGGACGGTGGCCGTGGCTTTGAAGGAGTTGGGCTGGGCTTTGGGGTCCTTGAGAAGAGGATGGATTTGCTTGCGATCGGTGATGGAGTAGGATAACTCGATGCCGTTGCAGACCCGGGGTGTTTCTGGGGGCTGGGATTGGGTTGAGATGAAGAAGAGAGCGAGGAAGAGGAGAGAGGAAGAGGATGAGGAGGAGGAAGAGGAGGAGGAGGAGGGGGAGGGGGTTAGGAGCAGGATAAGTTTTTTATAAGGGAGTTTTATACAAAAAATCCCATCAACACTGGTCGGAACAGTAACTCCGGCCAAACTTAAGGCCAATATGGCGCCGGAGTTAAAAATTTATACCAATCTGACAAAACTTAAAAAAAATATACCAACTTGTCACCAAGTCTCAAGAAATTATACCAATCTGGTCATTTTGCCCATTTTTATATGATAAAAGCATACACATAACCATATAAAAATTAAAAGAGTTCATGAAAATCATTTCTAAAGATTCTTGATTTTACTCAAAAAATTAAGTTGTTTTTAAAAATTATATATATATATATATATATATATATATAGGGTGAGGTTTTAATAAAAACCTCCTTAGCCTAAAAACTAAAAACCTATTTATTGCACTAAATACCATTAAAGAGTGCAATAAATGCCATTATTATACTGAGTGCAATAAATAGGGGTAACAAACAACCAATGAATCCAGATTCACTGGATTGCATCCAGATTCAATCCAGCGAATCAAGTTTCACCACACATAACTGAATCTGGATTCACTGCAGTGAATCTCGATTCACTCCAGTGAATCTGGATTCACTATAGTGAATCTAGATTCACTCATATATAGGGTGAGGATTTCCAGTTGAATAAACGAAGACACGTATGAGTGAATCTCGATTCACTACAGTGAATCCAGATTCAGTTATGTGAGGTGTTTGTTTTTTGAAGAATAATGACATTTATTGTAGTGAATCCAGATTCGGTTATGTGAGGTGTTTGTTTTTTGAAGAATAATGACATTTATTGTACTCTTTAATGGAAGAAAAATTTATTGCACTCTTTTATAATGGCATTTATTGTCATCACTGAATCTGGATTCACTGCAGTATACGCTCTAATCTTAACCATTGGATGAGATAGATCCAATGACCCACAATGGTTTTTAGTTTTTAGGCTAAGGATTTATGAATTTTGCCTTTTCAATTACTCCTATTTGCCCAGTTCTTGGATTGTGTTTTATGAGTCCACAATAACCAATTGAATCTCTGAGCATGATTTTTTTTTGGGTATTTTCTGGCTTTCTTTAAACTGGCAAGAGGTATAAGAGTTGCATAGTAGGTTATTGGTGTACTTCGTAAGTTAAACTGTTTTAACATATGATCTTTTTTATTGTGCTGTCATAAAAGTACCAGAAAATTTGTCTATTCCAAATTCTGAGATTGAAACTTAAAGTTTGTGCTAGTTTTTAGTTTTGTGAAAATTTTGGAGAAGGGTAAGGAAGTATAATACATGGGCAGGGGTTTAATTTTTTTAACAGGTTTATCTCAAAACAAAAGAAACTGCATAGTGAAAGTTCATGGTAGTTTTTTTGGAGTACTAAATGTTTATGAAAATTTTCTGGAAAGAACACAATAGTTTGCTAATTCTAAATGGTCATAATATGAGTACAAACATGAGACTGATGGATCATGCTATTCTAAATGGTTTAGTCTTGTGGAAAGAACACGATAGTTTGCTAAATCTTCTGAAAATTTTAATGTATTTTTTTACAGTAAAGCTTATAATAGTTTCTGAAGAAGAAGAAAAGGCTAATATTTTGGAGTAGCTTCTGTGTTATTTGCCTATAATAGAGTGACATTAAGTAGTCGCTTTCATGACTTAGTCATTGCTCTGATATCTTATCAGAAACTAAAATGGTATCAGATAGGTAGTCATGTGGAATTATACCCACTTGTGGGTTCATAAAAGCATTAAATTTATGAAACTGGTTTTATGAGATGCTTAATGATCTGCTTTATTTGATCAGCATATGACTTCCTTGATGTCATATTATCAAGAATCCAGTGCACTTTGTTCAGTATTTCTGACATATCAAATATTTTCTTGCACTATATCGTATCCTTTCGAACCTGAAAATGTGCATACAGATTACTTATCGAGAAGGGTTAATGGCAGATAGACCCCCTGTACTATTGCCAAACTGTGTCTAGACCCCAAGAGTGAATTTGTTTTTGCTCTTCTACCCTCAAGAGGTCTATTTGTCAAAAATAATAATTTTCTCTTTTCCCTGAGTGCAAAGGAGTTTAAAAAGAAAAAAAAGTTAACGCATGGGGTCTATCTGCAATGGGTAATAATACAGGGGTCTGTCTGCAACTAGCCCTTGTAAATCACACAAGAAACAGAGCAAAGAACCAGTAGAGGTTCAAGCTTGGTTCAACGTAAAAGAAACACCAGAAACTAACTCAAACAACACAACATTATCAGCATGCACTATGCCATTTGCTCTCAGTGCCTCTCAATTCTCATCCCACTAACACACTCTCCTTATAATTCATTTAGAGAGGACCCACCGACCAACCGGTTGCCACCACGTCATCGGCCCCACCCACTCCCTAGTATATTCATTCAGATTCACGTTTCAACCTATTTCCCAGTAATTACCTCATAATTAAGCTTTTGGATAAGGGTAATGATAGACCCCCTCGTTTCCTTATAAATAGACTAGAGTTCTTGTACTCTCTTTAGGGAGAACACATTTGCACATTGCATTTATAGTAGTGTTCGTCTCTCATCTACTACTTCAAACTCTGTTCACAATGGAGGGCAAAGGATATTGCCAAGATCTCCGAAGGAGATGCAAGCCTTACATAGCCATGATCTCTCTTCAGTTCGGATACGCTGGTATGAACATAATTACCAAAGTATCCCTAAACCATGGAATGAGTCACTATGTCCTCGTCGTTTATCGCCATGCCTTCGCCACCCTCTCCATCGCGCCCTTCGCCCTCATCCTAGAGAGGTACATACCTCATATGATAATTTTTACGTAACTTTTCATTGGACTTATACTTTTGGTGGTGTTATAGGAAAGTGAGGCCTAAGATGACATTTCCCATCTTCATGCAAATCTTCGTTCTGGCTCTCCTTGGGTGAATACACAATATATTTTTCCTAATATCACATAGTATGTCACAAATATCAAAGACTAAAATATGAAATGTTGCATTGTAGGCCGGTCATAGACCAAAACTTCTACTACATGGGCTTGAAATACACTTCGCCAACCTTTGCTTGTGCAATGAGCAACATCCTTCCTGCCATGACCTTTGTCATGGCAGTAATTTGCAGGTAAGCTGTATATCACGCTGTTCATCTCATTGACACAGATTAGATATCAAATAAACCGATAATTTACGAGTATATATAATTTTCATGTGAATAGAATGGAGAAGGTGGATATAACGAAAGTGAGGTACCAAGCCAAGGTGATAGGGACCGTGGTGACAGTGGCCGGAGCTATGTTGATGACTCTCTACAAAGGACCGATAATTGAGATGGTTTGGACTCGACACATTAATGTTCATCAAACCGATTCACATGTTAGTGTTGAGCCTAGTGATAAAGAGTGGTTCATCGGTTCTGTGTTCATCGTCTTAGCTACTCTCGCTTGGGCCTCTCTATTTGTTCTTCAAGTAAGACAATATACTGTTTCTAATGAATTATGCTTAAAGATAATTAAGTTCAAATGAGGACTTACCAGTTTGGTTTAACTTAAGGCAGTGACATTGAAGCAGTATTCTGCTCAGCTCTCATTAACAACACTTATATGCTTTGTGGGAACACTGCAAGCAATTGCTGTGACTTTGGTGATGGAGCACAAGCCCTCTGCTTGGGTTGTTGGCTTTGATATGAACCTATTTGCTGCTGCTTATGCTGTCAGTAATCACTCTTCACACTTATCATGGAATGTTTTTTTGTTTCAGGGGATTGTGACGTCAAGCCTTGCATATTATGTACAAGGGCTAGTGATGCAAGAGAGAGGGCCAGTTTTTGCCTCGGCTTTTAGTCCACTGATGATGATCATAGTAGCAATCATGGGCTCCTTTATGCTTTCCGAAAAGATTTATCTTGGAGGGTATGAACTAGTTACTATGACCCATATCCTGAATTCTCAAATGATTGTACACCGATATTTGTATGTCATGTTATTTGTGCACGTCTCACTTAATTCTTTTCCTATGTGCAGTATTCTTGGAGCGATATTGATTGTTGCAGGCCTTTACTCAGTGTTATGGGGGAAGTACAAGGAGAACAAGGAGATAAAAGAGAGGGAAGCTATGGAGATTAGTGAGCTCAATGAGGTTGATGTAGAGAAAGCAAAAGCTAAGGATGAAGTTTTAGCAGTTACTGCCTCAGATATTGAAGCTACAAAGGTTCAGATGGCTAGTAGTTGATAAGTTCTAAGAGGAGCAATAGAGACTGAAGTGAGTTGAGGATGCCAGAGAGAGAAAGAACTTTTTTGTTTACTCTTTTTCCTTTGATTTTTTTTCCTCTTTTTAATCTTTTTAGTAGAATGAGCTCTGTAAGCAGCTAATCAAGATGAATATTTGACATGAGAATGGAGAAAGCTTAGTAACATTTAGTTTTGTTTTGCAATTACTCGCGTCTTTTTAGTGCTAACTCAATTCATACAGAGGGAATGAATTATCTCAATTCATAAAGATTACACTACACCAGATGCTCATCCAAAATTGTTACAAAGGTTTCCTAGAAAATAAAAGAAAATCAACATTTCTCAGATTAAACTTTCAGAGAGTAGACATTAGTCCATATTCAACAAAGGTTTGAAACTATAATACAAGAGACACATAATATTAGAGTCTAATGGCTAAATTTGACAAGTATATTCAAAAGGTGTAATATTTGAATATCTAAGTGGATGAATTAGTGACTGCTGTGGTAGAATCAATGATCAAGTGTAACTTCAATGTAAGTGCTCTGATATTATATATTAGAAGATATAACAACCACCTTTTCAAGAGCTCCACAAATAACCTTCTAATAGTAAATTATCAAAGAAAATATGAAATTATTAGTTTATTTAAAAAAATGATATGCTTTTGATGAAGACCTTTCTGTTCATTCTTTGAGTACAATGCATAACAGGACCTAATTAATGGACAAGCTTTCTTAGATTAGTCCTAAAATAAGCTTTTAATAAAAAAACAAATTATTAAAGAATTGAGGGTTTGGAGAACAAAGATTATTTTATTTGTTGCATTGAAGTGTTTAATTACAAAAGCAAGAACAGAAGTTCTAGAATCCTATCCGATGTGAGACTAAAATAAAGGAACACAATTATACATAACTAATATATTTAACACAATATTGTGAATTTTCTGAGAAAACAGCCCTTTTCTTAATTCACATGAAAGTTTGTTTCTCAAATCATTTTCTACTCCAAGATAATGAAATTTCTTTCTCTAGAGTTTCATATTGTTATAATGCCATTCTAGCATATTCAGAATAAGAAAAGTTGGAGAATATAACTTTCTAAATCGAATATCATTCGAAAAATATATTTGTGGAACATGACATTAATTGATTATTCAGGTTGAATTTTAAATGGAACACTTTACGGTAATTCTCTTAAGAGAGAAAATTGTTACTATTTATCTTGTATTGACAACTATAATCTCCTCAATTATAAACTTTCAATCAAAATACAGGTCTCGACTAACCCTCTATTGTTCTAAAATCTTTAAGTAGCCAAGAAAGAAAATTTCAGATCAGATGGTTTAAAAGAGATACATAATGCACAAGTCATTCAATCAAGAAGGCCTCAAAAGTATAGATACGCTTACGAAACTAGTATTTCATCCTTATAGTCATATCCAAGATTAGAATTTTTTTTAAACAAAGATTAGAGCATCGTCCATGAATTCTGGTACTTATCCATGATTTCCAGTGCTTATGGGTGCACGACATGATATACACTTACACCTAGGGATGTCCAACCGGGCCCGACCGGCCGGAAAACTAGGTTCGGGTCAGACAAAAAGGGGTACCCAACCTGAGCCCAGTTGGACCAGGCCAGGTCCGAGTCTAGGCCCAGGCCCTAGCGAGCTGAGCACCGGGCCGACCCGATTTATTTTCTTTTTTTCTTTAAAATTAGTTTCTTCCTAAAAAAAAATAAAATTTCAAGAGTAATCAAAAATAAAACATGCAAAATTTTGATAAAAAATCAATCATATTATTAATCGCTTTTAATTATACAATTTACAAATACAAATATCATACAAATAAAAATATAAAAAAATAATTCTTTATTATTAAGTCACTAACAATTACAACTTTTTTTTTTAAAATTTATCGCATCACAATAGATGAATACATCCCAATTATGTTGGTACCTATTTATCTATATCACCATCATTTGTAACTCTTTCCAAAATAAATTATAAAAAAAATTATAGCTAAGAAGTAAAAATTACAAATTAATGAGTAATTTGACTAAATTCTACTCTTTATCTCTATCTCCTAGTGACAACTCATCAAGTCTATCTTCAATACTAGCCATTCGATCGATGCCTTGAGTTCTCTTCTCGGACATCCAGTAATCTTGTAGCTAGGCACATTACCATCTGTACGGTAAATGGATCTAACGATGTTCTGTGGTCGTCGATCAAACATCCTAATGTGCTGAAGCGGATTCCGAAGCTATTGTAGAAATCTGCATTGTTAGTAAGTCACGGGCCATAATGAAAAGTATAGGACATGAAACTGTTCCATGTACTCTCCACAATTACAAAATATCAAAATCATTATTTTGAGTTTCAACTAAAGGTGCGAATAAATATTGTTCAATTTTAGAAACTTCCCTCGATGATGATCCAGATTCAGATCCATGGCTACCAGTTAGCCTCACTATTATTAATTACCTATCAAAACTCTTACTTTTACCTCGGCTTGAACTCGTAGAAGCAGAAGCTATAGGTTGATGTGTACTTACATCATATCTACCCGCATACTCCTCATATAATCTTTTAAAATAATATTTAATAGTGTTATGATGAGTAATTGAAAAAAGTTTCAAACTCAAGGAGGTGGACAAAGATGACCCAAGAGGACGCATGTTTCGGACTTAAACAGATTTAGTCCGATAGCAACATCATAGACAACTGTATCTGTCTTGCTCATGCGAGGCAAAAGAAACTATCTCGCACGAAGATCTTCTCTGACGTACATCTGAAACATTCTCAGCACACATGCGACACTCCGATGAGTACACGAGTATAAGCTGCATCTCCTTAAACCTCTGACAGGTACACGAGATTAAACTGATTCCCGAAACTCTTAGGAGTATACGAGTATAAACTGGTCCTTCCCACTCTAACATCTTAAGAACTTAAACTGTGTAGACTCTAGTTAACGTATGGGTATAAACCGTGTTCACGCCGGTCGTGAGTCAACGACGGTCAACGCGTAGCCATGAGTCAACGCCAGTCAACGCGTTACAATGAGAGTCAATGCCGGTCAACGCGTTACAATGAAGGTTCACGCCGAGCAACGCGTGATGATGAAAGTAAATGTCGGTCAACGCATGATGATGATAGTCAATGCCAGTCAACGCATTATAACAAAGGTCGATGCCGGTCAACACATCGATAATTTCGCCGAAATAAGGCTCAAGAAAAATTCCAGATCAAAGGATGATTCCTAGGAGTTCAATCGTGATTCAGATGCAAACTCCTAACGAAGATGATCAGTTCAACGTCGACTCAACGACACGAGCTAATTTAGAAATCAACACACCAGCTTCAGTTCAAGATTTCGACAATGATTAGATGATAAACGTAACACCGAAAGAATTTTAGCTATTCAACAAAATACTAAATAGACTGAAAGCTAAAAAAGTCAACGAATTGAAAGCTAGGCGTATCATATCTAAAGTATTTCAGGCTTCTCTATAAAAGAATGAGACTGAAACACTTTGGATCTGTAAACGTTAAAATTGCCTATAGGTTCCTGCACACAACTCAAATGAAGAAAAGACGATGAAGGTCATTATCCAAGTCAACGAGGATTATCTGATGCCGTGAGGAAGCTAACAAGCGCATGAAGTGAGTTGACGAAACATACGAGTCAATGAGATGGCAAAATAGCGAAGAAACGACTCGATCCGAAGTTTTTTTTACCCATGAAAAATAAAGTGCCACTCGTGTCTCATTCACTCCACGTGTGTTTTGCCCAGGGGAGGTTGTAGATCTCTTCTTCGGCTTTCTAATGTATTTTGAATCACGTCATTCCGGAATCATACGGGAGAATTAGAGGCGAATCAGTCGAAACACGCCAACAACATCTCGACCAGGGCCGAGACACCAATGGTGTCTCGGCTCAAGGGCGAGACACCAGCGGTGTCTCACGCCCAGAAAAGTCGTTTTTCGCCCGTTAACCGCCCGAAAACCTGTTTTTCGTTAAGATTTCGAGATTTCTTGATTCCATAGCCTCTCCAACTATTTGCGGCTATCTTTGAACATGGTTAAGTGGTTACAACCAAGGATAAGATCAAATTGTTCATTCTTATATGGAAATAGAGCTTCTGAAGCCTATAAATATAGCCTTAGGGTCTTCATTCAGAGGGATAAGGAATTTGGACCTATCGGCGAAGCCCTGTCATTTTGAACAGCAGATGAGCACGAATTTTAGGGAGGAGGAAGAGGGATCTATGAGTTCTTCAACATAAAGAGGAGGGGTTCGGGAGATTTGCAACCTTTCAGCACATGTTATCTACTTCTCTTGAGATCAAATTTTAATTTGATCTCGAGAAGAGTGTTTTCCTCACCTTACTGAGTCATTTACTTTAATTTATTATTTCCTTTGCGAGACAACAAAATCAACCACATCTGATCCGCGGTGGTCCATGGATAAACCCCGGCATAGGCAAATACCCTACGCAAGTAGCGGGTAATAAACGTCATCTGCGTGTGTTTCTAGGGAATTGTTGATCTATTTCTTTTGTGTAAAGAAGTTTTATAAAAAGACTCATCTTTTTTGAATCTGTAAAAGTCGATAAACGATTGTAATGTATTCCACTAAGGAATCAATTTCCGACGCAAACATAAGGCATTCATGATCATAAGGAGGTCTAAGCATTTATCAAAGGCAACATGCCCTGGTTTGTTCTCAAAGAAGGTAACATCAGCTGAAATAATATACCGATTCAATGATGGGTAACAACATCTATACCCTTTTGAGTCCTAAAACATCTATGAAAAATTCCCTTAAAAGATCTCAAATGTAATTTCGTCCATCGAGGACTATGATTGTGAATAAGCATAGAGATTCAAAGATCTAAGGAGGTAAATGAAAAGTATTTTTAGCCGGATATAAAAGGAGATCAAAGTTTTGTTCTATAAGACAGACGAGGGTAATCTATTGATCACGTAGTAGGCTGTCAAAATGACTCCACCCCAAAAAATATTTTGAAACTTGATGATGGAATAGCAAGGTCCAACCAAATTCCAGTAAGTGTCTATTATTATGGTTAGCGACCTTATTTTGTTAGGGTGTGTAAGTACAAGAAGACTAATGTAAAATTATATTTTCTTCCAAATATTTTATGAAAGAGATTTCAA